TCAAGTGTACTTGTTTTATTTTAAATTGAGAAATCTATTCCATGCTACAGGTGACACCAAGACGAATGAGCTATATGACACCTCAGGTTGCCATGACAACGTCGAAGAGAAGGAATCCTGTCACCAGACGTCCAGCTCCCAGAGCACCACGGACATGAGGCAGCCGGCCGAGTACGACAACGACCAGTTCAGCGACGACAACAACATGCTCTGCAAGAGCAACAACAACAAGCAGCTGCTGAGGGAGCGGTCGCGCCACAGAATGGTCGATGCCAGCACGCAAACAGATCCAGATGTGAAGGACGAGGATGATGATGAGTGGTCGCAGTTGAGGTTCGTCATCGCTCCGAACTTTGATCGACAACAGGCGGGGAACGTCAACGGTAACAGCCCTACAAGAAAAGCCGGCAAGAGGTCTCTATCTGCCCAGTCTGGGAACTCTACGGAAAGAAGTAAAAAACGACGAAAAGTCGTTACTGCTAAACGTAAATACAGAAAAAAGACAACAAACTTAGCTGCGAAAAAAAAGCACCGCAACGCCGCACAAGTCTTCGAACGTGACTTGGAGAAATCTCGATATACCAAGAAAAATGAGGAGTACGGACCGCCCCGAGAGGTAGCCCAGAGAAACACGAAAGTTCGGTCAAGGTCACCTAATCGTCAGGTCCGTCGCTCCCACAGCAGAGACACCGACAGGAACCCGGATGTGGATGTGCTGCCGCCGCATGCGCACCAAGTTATCAATAAATTCAACTTTGGAATGCGTCGCTGCATCCTTTGTCGTAAGAAGGTGGACCTCAACAGCTCTAAACCTGCGTGGCTGAACTGTTACCTGTGTGGTCGTGTGGCACACCGTCAGTGCGCCATCAAAGACTCCCCGGCCTGGGGGAAGGTCGACGCAGAAGATAACTACTTCCTGTGTAATAATTGTGTATTGGAGTGACTCTTCTCCTCTGGGTTGTAGAAGTGTAATGCCGTTATGACGGCGATAGTGTTAAGGCTACCATCACAGAAGGCTAAGGAATGTTAACTATTGTAGCTTACGTAGCTACTATGTCTTTTATCACTTGTCAAATGTGATATAAAAAAAAAACACTTTTAAAAACACAATAATTTGTAACATATATTTTAAATTGATTTAAGTCAACATCTACTACACACATACATAATTAATGTATTGTATCAACTTATACTATAAAACACACTCACACCATTAAAAAATAAACATATTTTATAAGTCACAATGATTGTGTTCGTTAATTTACTAATGCTGTTACCAGTTGATCGTTTGATTAAAATTATTTTGTTCGTGTTTTAATTGACCACGTGACAGACATCTCATTAAACCCCCGCTGCTCGTGGTAATCAAAGCAAACAACATGCTTGTAGCTGTCTGTGAGTTTGATTACGAAATAAGAGTTCATTTGGAACACATCGTTCCGCGAGTGATATCATAGGTCAAGTCTGACTGTCACAATCTGTCAGACAGTCAAACACTGACAGACATTGACTGTCACAATATGCCAGACAAACACTGACAGACATTGACTGTCACAATATGCCAGACAAACACTGACAGACATTGACTGTCACAATGTGACGGTGACTGTCATAAGCTGACCACAGTGACTGACACAATCTGACAGCAGTGACTGACATATGTCTGAACTATCCCACACTGTACACAAAGAGTAATAGTTCTAACAGTACAGAAAGAACGTTTTGAACCATAATTATATAATAAAGCTACCCTAATCCAGTCCTTGCCTTATCCTTAACCTCAGCCGTAACTCTAAGTCTGGCCTTAATCCTAATCCTACACCTCACGTCTGGTAACCCTAGATGGAGCTCTAACCCTAATCCCCTACATTTAAAAAATCCCGACATTTAAAAAAGCCCTACTTCTAATCCTATTTTAAACTGACATCTTAACCGCTACAAAACACTGTACGCCTATCGTCGATTTTACCAGTAAAATAGAATACATTTAGTTATAGAACTAGGTTACCTATCGTAACATGTTTTTCTAGATGTGTTGTGACCCTTGATACCTAACCATATCAACAAGACATGCTTCGTCGAAGTTAACAAGTAGGTCAGCAATGGCGGTTGTTTTTATTTGAAATCGCTCAGGCAGTCTAAATCTGACGTGTTCGAGGAATTAGAGTAGTATATTCTTAATATCACATATCTAACAGATGGATACCACACATAAATAATACGTTAAGACGAAGTTATTTGAAATAAAGGGGAATAACTCCTTTAACTCATTTCGAAAAATGACTGGGACCAAATCTTGTAGCATCCACTAAAAAACAAAATAAGAACATATGTCAATAAATAACAAATGCAAACTGTCATTTGAATCTCTCAATAAGTAGATAGAAACATAGGATTATTAATGTTACTAAAATAAAATGCAGATATTCAAAACCATTACACAATGAACAATGCAATTGAAATTAAAAATTAGCCAGAATGACGTCCTACTTGATCTAATCCTGAGTTCATTTTGAAGCTGGGGTCGGCAAACTGCGCCTCTTGTGTTATCAATATGCGGCTCTCCAGCTCCATATATTCTTTTAGTTAGAAAAAACTCCAAAATATTATACTGTGAAAACAAAAACATTGAGAATAGGTTGAGTGTAGAGCGTATCTGGACAGCTGACAGCCGATGGGTATTAGTCCCAGCCCCACAACTGTGCTGTGGCCAGCCCTGTTGCAATGTCCCATGCTTTCCTCTATCGAAGTGCATACAAATGTTTGTTTCTTTAAAAATTTGGAAATTGTGTAGATTATAACTTGTGGCTCTTCCGTCTCAAAAGGTTGCCGATCCCTGCTATAGGACAATCCAAATCCACTTTAGAAGCAGTTAACTTTTTTTCTGCCTTAACGGACATCAGGGGCTCAGGCGGTGTCTACCATTAGCCTGGCAGGCCTCAACACGGCAAACTCCGACTAACTGTCCTTGGGTATCGGATTGATTACCGTGTATCGGTAGCTTCTGTCCTTTGGTTCTCACCAGGCTTATCTTCCACCACACTGAACACAGGGTAAACTCGTACCCCCATAGTCCAGTACCCGGCTCAACAGTAGGAAGCTAATAACTAAAAAAAATTACCTCACTCATGTCAACTTAATGATTACTGACCGATAGGGCAATGCATTCTGAATAAAATAACATTCCCCATTCAAAGATTTCGAAAACGTTGGCACTTGGGCTGTGGCAAGCATGGAATGGTTGTCACGGGGCTGTCCATAGCACGGCTGTGGGGCTGGGCCTGGTGCCTAAGCGACTGTCAGCTGTCCTTTTACTTCCTACTGCACCTATTCTCACTGTTTTCTGATGAGTGTGTTTATCCTGTTTTAAGTTGTGTTTCTTTACATTGTAATATTTATTTTGAATTTTGAAAATAAAATAATATAATTATTAATATTTGTGCAAGGAGCTGGAGAGCCGCATTTTGACATCAAAGGAGCAATTTTATTTCTCTGGCGAAATACGTGTATGTTTTCATATGAATAAATATTTAAAGCTATTTATTTTCAATAGCAAATCAAATTTATTTACATAATCCTAATCAAAACTAAATATTGAAAAAAAAATGTGGCTCTTAAAAAACTGGGAAATTTTATAAATTGTAACTTTTGGCTCTTCCGCTCAAAAGGTTGCCGACCTCTGACATAGGGCAAAAGTAAACTTAGCAGTTAAAACAGAGTTGCATCCCCTAATTTGGTCCAGTTATAATGCCAATTTTTCTCTATTTAATTACTATATATACAATTTATGATCAAGTCTTTGAAACTGTATAAAACTACAAAATAATTTATTATTGATATTACTTTAAATGTGTATAATTAATTTATTAAAAAAAAAACTTTGGGGGGGGGGGGGGGGGGGCTGCTATAGACAAAGTAGAAAGGGAAGAATGTTTGGTTTGACATGTCCAATTGTAATCTACCTATCATGCAGGCTGCTAATAATATCTAAATATTTTTTTTTTAATCACAAATATATTTCAACATTAGATTTTCATAAATTATTTTTAAAAAGTACTTTAGGTATAACTTGCAGTTATAATGAATTCTTCCTACATTTTTGTGTTGAATATTGAACCTGGTTGGTTTATTTACCCTGACCTCATTACAAGGAAACACGTTCTTCCTAGAGTCTCGATGTTTTTGTTTATGCACGTTGTTGATGCCACCTAAGACATGAAAATACATTTATGAATTTCATAGAACTGTCTTACCTAGAAATTCAAGTTTCTGAATTGCATATGATGTTTAGAAATGTTTACAAAATCCTCAGGTGTTGAGTTCCGTATCATGTGACAGCTGGGCTATAAATAGCCTTGTTTTTGATTGCAGAAGGTTTAGATTTGCCTCCGTCTCATTCTAGATAGATTTCGGCGTTATAATTCGGGCTGTGGATTTTATTGTCAGTTTACTTTCAGGTACGTCTTTTTTTTCTCTCACAGTCGTCGTTTGATTTCGAACTGGTTAACTTAATAAAGATCACATTTCTAGCAGGTTAATTTAATGAATTTAGCACATTTCTAACAGGTTAACTTAACACAGTTATCACATTTTCATCTGTTTAACTTAATAAAGTTATCACATTTTCATCTGGTCAACTTAATAAAGTTATCACATTGTTAACTGGTTTACTTAATAAATTTCTTACATTTCTAACTTAATAACTTAATAAATTTATCACATTTCTAACTGGTAACTTAATAAAGTTATCACATTTTCAACTGGTTAATGTTTTATTAAATAATGTCTAACAAATATTTCTGGAAATAAATAATCGAATTTGTGTACATATTTCTGGTTTTAATAGAATGCGTGTGCATACTTACGATTTTAATGCCAACTTTGATAGTGAGAAACATTTAAAAAAAGATGTGTCCGACATAAGATCAAGTACACAATTATTTGTTGACGTGAACTTAATTTCGTTTCCCTCAGGTTGCTTGGGGTCACGGGTCCCTGGGATGGAACTGACCTACATACTGACCTTCTCAGCCCTGGCCAGCGTCGTGTCTGGCACCTGCACCACGACTGACTGGAGCCAGAGTTTCGCGCGGCCCGGGGTCTCACAGTGCCAGTGGAACACGTATCTCCGTGGGTTCGGCTCCTCCGGTTCTGGAACCAGCGGCAGCATCACCGGACTCCAGTCGGCCCAGTGCTGCCCTGGACCAGACGAACTCTGGACATGGTCAGACATGATGGTCGTCTTCCAGGACTGGCGGACATCGTTTGACGTCAAGGGGTGGGTCAGCTGTCCAGCTGGGTTCTTCTTGCACGGGCTGGTCAGATCCGGAAGCGGAAACGGGCAGTTGCATAACATTGAAGAAGGCCGGTGTTCGAAACCCACTGAGCACCCGAGAAGGTATGGCGAGTGTTATGAAGAGAGTGTAGCCTCTTGTTTCCTCAATGGCGGCTTGTGCGGATGTCGCGAGGGCTATTTTGTTACAGGTTTATACAGGGATAGCTGCAGTCGGCTGGAATGTCTTGAGAAGTTAAAATGCTGCAAGATGTTGCCGGAACCGGATGTTTTGAATGAGTTAGAAAGAGTCAAAACTCGTATCATGGACAAGACGCTTGCGGACATTGCGTTACTGGCACACTGGTTGGGCTACGGTTGGTGCGCTGGGTGCCGCGCGATGTACGTCGGTGAGGACTTCCGGCGCATTGGTGACGCCTGGTACGCTGATACCTCAGGCACGTGCGAGGGGTACATGAGCGGCCATCGCCTCAGTATCCACTACAGTGACTGGAGATTCAAGGTGAAAAACATGATCTATGGCGAGAGAGAAACTACCATTCTACATCCGGAGAAAATAGACACAGGTGTCGTCATCAACAACCATTCGACACCGGTGACCAAGACAATCGAACAAGAGGAGGTCGTAGTTCGAAGTGTGAAGCACACGGCTAGTTCAGAGTGGAGGCATATCCAAGAGCTCAATATTTCGGTGACATACAAAACGTTGTTCTCGATGAGATACAGGTTTCGTTATGAGACTGCTAGCAGCACCACGAACGAGACTGGCGTCACAGATTCCAACACGTTTAAAGTCACATCCTCTAAAACCCTGCAGCCGTACTCCTCCGCCAAATGGCAAATAGAAATCTCCAAAGCCCGAACAGCCGTGGCCTACACGGCTGTTATAGAAATCGAGTTCTCCCTGGAGTTGAGAGGGTTTCTCCGCTGGGGAGGGGGGTACAACGGAGACTCAACCAACTACCACTACAGACACAGGGGCAGCGGCGACAGGCCGACCTTTCACTACAGGTTTGGGAACAGCAGCAGAACCTTCCGCGAAGCGCTCACACGAGAAAGTGAAACGAACATGTCGCCATGGGAATGGGATGCCATGCTCCGCAAATATCCGCACGCCGTACGTGTCATCGACAGGTTGGTCAACGAGAATCGATACGAGTTTCAGTTGACCGGATATTTTGAGGATATATTCGGGAAAAACGCTAACCTGGAGTGGTCGGAAATGAGGAAGCGGAAACGATCGACCGCGGTTTTCGACGAGAAACCGATTTCGCCTGTAAACCACGTGATCGCCAAGGAGGGGGTCAACGACCCCGCCTCATTAAACCACTTCCCACCTGAGCTCAATATCCCGAGGGTCAGACCAACTGAACGGGACCACATCCCCGCGTCAGGTTTCTAAAAAAATTAAATTTAAAATGAGTGTCACCTCGCTCCCTGACGAAATAGTTTTTCCATAGCGGTGACTGGCAAAAGGAACGATTGAAGAAAGGACAGGGACAAAACTATTTAAATAAACATGCAATGTTTTTAAAAATACATTTTTCCAAACCGACCAACTAAACAGAGAACGAGTTTCGCATCCTTTTATTTGCATATGTATTAAATAACTAGTTGTTTGTATAGAAACATACCGTGGATTAATCACATCACACTTTATTATAACGTGGTTTATTAGAAAATGTAGTTTATAATATAATGTAACACTATCTATTTTCATTATAGTTATTTCTAGGTTTATTATAAAACAATATTTTTAATACCTTTGTTTATGGCTAACTATTTTCATGTAAATATATTTTGAAACGTTTGCTTCAATACTTTCAACTTATTAAACAAAAAATAAACTACTTTTGTCTATACTGTCTTGCAGCCTTATTTTTTTTTTTTTTGAGTGTGTTAATTTTACCAAACCATCAAACGTTCGATGCTACCGGCAGCAGCTTCAAACACTTTCTTGTGAGCTAAACGCCACTAACTGAACTCACGTCTGTTCTCATCTAGGCCTAGTTCTATCGTGAACGTTGAAAGGTCGGATAATGTCACTGAGTTAACCCAGATTTATTGGTACCCGGCGGTTATGCGACAAAATGGGTCAGTGATACAATATTTCAGGATAAATGATCTCTCACTAGGATGTATCCGAGTTAACCCAGCTTTTATGAGTACTTGGCAGTAGTCGGGGGGGGGGGGGGGTGGTGGTGTTAGAGGAGTGCTGGACATGATGCTGGTCACAATCAATAAACAGAGGATGAGCACTATTTCAACTGTCAAATGGAGGGGACTCCTAGGAGGAACAAAGTTACACGTTACAAGTTAAATGTAAAATTTACATCAAATTGATGTCAATGTCGTCTGTATTGCTTGTCGCAACAATTAAAAACAATCAATTTATCGCAATTTTTCAAAGTTTACAACTTTTTTATAATTTAAAAAAAAATTTAAAGTGGTAAAATAAGTAGCGCTGTTAAAAAATCTCCCTTCCATAGCTAAGCTTGTAAGAAAGAAACTTTTCCCCTAACAAACTGATCACAATTGGCGTGGCTGTTATTGTGGTTGTCCAGGAAGATGATGTGGCCTTATGGACAATCTGTGTAGCGTCACTAGTCCAACACAGAATAGAAAGTCTGGTACTATGGACATCATCCCCCTCCCTCCCAGAATATACAACAAGAACTTGAGTTGAATATTTTAATATAACTGATCTGAATGTTTAGAAAATAATTTTTAGTTTATTAACTTGGTGTCACCCCTCCTCTAAATTGCGCCCCCTCCCCTGGTGCTATTGGCACCCTCTGTGTTGCTTCTGTGAATGGTTATTCTTTTTTTTGGGGGGGGGGGTGCATATAAGGGGAAGAGTTTAATCGTTTAATTTCTTTTCCTGGAAGATAATTGTTTCCAGAAATCTGTTTCAAATTTAGCTCCCACCTAGAAACGTTTTGCGGCAGGTAAGGTCAGATAATCATGGATTTGTTTTCCAGGGAAGTAATAAGATCATGTATTTTTAGTAATGTTTTAATTCACAGTTTAAAAGCTTTAGCGTCGTAGATGTTCAAACATGTAAACAAAAAGTGCTTGTTGTGTTGTTGAAAAAACTGGTTATGAATTTAATTATCGAAAAGTGGAAATAGTAAACAGTTAAATTGTGACGTTGATGTGTGTAGATGGGGGGGGGGGGGGGTAAATGGCAGGATGTGGTGTCGCCGATGTTGTGACAGATGTAGGTAGATGGGGGGGGCGGTTAAATGGCAGGGTGTGGTGTCGCTGATGTTGTGACAGATGTAGGTAAATGGGGGGGGGGGGGTAAATGGCAGGGTGTGGTGTCGCTGATGTTATGACTTATATATGGGTAGATTGGGGGGGGGATAAATGGGGGGGGGGGGATAATGTCGCTGATGTTGTGACAGATGAAGGTGGATGGGGGGGGATGGCAGTTGTGATGTCGCTGATGTTGTGACATGTGGGTTGATTGGGAGGGAGGGTGGGGGGTAAATGGCCGGTTGTGGTGTCTGTGATGTTGTGACAGATGTTGGTAGATGGGGGGGGGGGGTAAATGGCAGAGTGTGGTGTGGCAGTTTCGATACACATTCTTCGTCCTTGACACCTAAGACCTTTTTTTAATTTAGCGAAGGGTTGAAGTGCTTGCAGTAGTCGCAGTGTGGTTATCGGACCTGTTTATGGCATGTGGTGATACACTTACGTGTGTTAGGCGGTGACAAACAGGCGTTAGATAGTGGCACTTATAATACAGGTGTTATATTTTACAGGATGTGACACAATTACAGGTCTTATATTTTACGCAGGGTGACACATCTACATGTGTTATATTTTACAGGAGGTGGCATAATTACAAGTGTTATATTTAACAGGTGGTGACACAAATACAGGTGTTATATTTTACAAGAGCTGACACAATTATATGTGTTATATTTTAAAAGAGGTGACACAATTACAGGTGTTATATTTTACACGAGGTGACACAATTACAGGTGTTATATTTTACAAGAGGTGACACAATTACAGGTGTTATATTTTACACGAGGTGACACAATTACAGGTGTTATATTCTACAAGTAGTAACTGGGGATGAATTTACAGGCAAGTCACGGTGACACGCGTACATGCAGGTCAAGGTGACACATTCACCTTCAGGACGTGGTGACATGACAGGTAGCAACCGGAGAATACGTTAACACAAGTGCAAGTTAGCGCTCCTGTCTAAACCCGTAATGCTGATTGGCTTAGCTCTTTGGTAAGCGTTCAATACATTCGAGCGTTACTTGCTCAATTGTTGTTGTTGGCGCTTAAATTAATAGTTTTTAGTTTTGGTTAAGTTATCGACATAGTTACCTATAAAGTAATACCTGTACTTGGTTTTTTTTTTTTTATTGTGCCTAAAAACGAGCTACTAGTTTGACCCTAACTGTGAAATGCACAAAATAACAATTCTGAATGCTCAGTAATAAAGAGAATCAAAAACACACCAAAAAAATAAATTAAAAAATAAAACAGTTTTCTTTGAATAACGATGTTGTTACCTATTTATTTCAGAAGAGTTCATTCCCCTAATTATTTCTAAGGAGTTCACTCCCTTATTATTTCCACACCCAGTATCACATTACATGAGGCCCTACAAAATACATGTTTACACATTCGAAGACTCTCATAGTAAATTCTGATCTTAATCTACATCAACATCTAACGTTTCTTGTTTCGTTCGGCAGTGATGTGTTATTGCTATTTAATCCGTTTTGGTCGTCAGTGATGTGTTATTGCTATTTAATCCGTTTTGATTTCGTGGTGAATAAATTGCTTTGCGCTGCATGGTCTCTTATATGGGTCAAGGTTGTATATTAATGTTGTTTGTTTATAGGAAACATAACATCCAGCTCGTAACAATTTTCTAGAAAATATTAATTTTAAGAAAAGAACTAAAAATAGGTCTGGATTTTTCTTATCAAATCTTTTTTAGTTATAAAACTAAAAGTGAAACAATCTCTTTCCAAATAGCAAAAAATAAATCGCAGCCTTCCAATTTTGAATGAACCCTAAAAAGCTATAAATTTAGTGTTTTGAAAGAACCAAAATAAGTAAGCCTTGTTATATACACCCTAATCAGTTATACATCCAGTATTTTGAATCAACACTAATAGTTATCGATCTATCATTTTGAATGAACCCTAAATTGATATAGATCTAGAAGTTTTATGAATCAAGTTGTAGATCTAGAAGTTTTATGAATCAAGTTGTAGATCTAGAAATTTTATTAATCAAGTTGTAGATCTAGAAGTTTTATGAATCAAGTTGTAGATCTAGAAGTTTTATGACTCAAGTTGTAGATCTAGAAGTTTCATGAATTTAATTGTAGATCTAGAAGTTTCATGAATCAAGTTGTAGATCTAGAAGTTTCATGAATTTAATTGTAGATCTAGAAGTGTCATGAATTTAATTGTAGATCTAGAAGTTTTATGAATCAAGTTATAGATCTAGAAGTTTCATGAATCTAATTGTAGATCTAGAAGTTTCATGAATCTAATTGTAGATCTAGAAGTTTCATGAATCTAATTGTAGATCTAGAAGTTTCATGAATTTAATTGTAGATCTAGAAGTTTCATGAATCAAGTTGTAGATCTAGAAGTTTCATGAATCTAATTGTAGATCTAGAAGTTTCATGAATTTAATTGTAGATCTAGAAGTTTCATGAATTTAATTGTAGATCTAGAAGTTTCATGAATTTAATTGTAGATCTAGAAGTTTCATGAATTTAATTGTAGATCTAGAAGTTTCATGAATTTAATTGTAGATCTAGAAGTTTCATGAATCTAATTGTAGATCTAGAAGTTTCATGAATTTAATTGTAGATCTAGAAGTTTCATGAATTTAATTGTAGATCTAGAAGTTTCATGAATTTAATTGTAGATCTAGAAGTTTCATGAATTTAATTGTAGATCTAGAAGTTTCATGAATTTAATTGTAGATCTAGAAGTTTCATGAATTTAATTGTAGATCTAGAAGTTTCATGAATTTAATTGTAGATCTAGAAGTTTCATGAATTTAATTGTAGATCTAGAAGTTTCATGAATTTAATTGTAGATCTAGAAGTTTTATGAATCAAGTTATAGATCTAGAAGTCCCACCCCTTTTTACTAGATGTCGTTCTGCCACGAGCACTTATTCTCATGCAATCGTCCGTTATTTTGGCGATGGGCCATCATTTAGAAGAAGAGGTTCTGGGCCATCAACTTGCACCCGATTTGACCTCCACCTACCGTCTAACCCCTGCCCCCAACAGTCAAGTATTATGTAGCTGTTTTAAACAAAATTAACTCATTACATAAAACAATAGCATATTTGATCTGAGTCTAGTTGTTGATATTAGAAAATTATTAAATCTGGTGATCGATTTTTAAAAAATTGAGTAGCTTCCCCTGCACAAATCTGACAGCTGTGACACCTCCAATTATATGTCTTATATGTGTCTTGGCGTTTATGGGTGCTTTATCATTCTTCGTTACTAATATGTTAAAACAACTTGCATGAACTACATCATTGTGGATTTAATTATTTGCAATGATCAATGAAGCACTTCTTTTTTTTTTAAAAGGGAGACGATTTGATTGTAAAAGATTTTAATTTGCTACCTCATATGCCAGGGTCACAGAAACAAGTGAATTCGACTTCACATGTGACTACGTGTATTTTTAAAATATGTCATACATTTTTTTTTTATATTTTAAATTTCCTTTTAAATTTTAAAAATATTTCTCACTTAGCGCGTTTGATTTCTTAAAAAAGCAATTTACGCAGTTGTCTCCCTTCTTCCTTTTTTACCTACCTTCCGTGTACGAAACACTACGCATGTCTCTGCTTTTGACTGTCACTTTGATATATTACTAGCTGTTTTTATTTCAATTGAACCTGTGATATTTAAATTCTGTCCAAGTTTGTCCAACTTTATCCACGTTCGTTCATCTTTGTTAAACCTAGTCCAAGTTCGTCCATGTTTGTCAAGTCTTGCCCAAGTCTTTGCCCAAGCCTGTCCATACTTCTAAACGACTATCTATATCTGTAAATATGTTTTCTGTTTTGTATAAATTTGCATTTACGTTTGTCCAAATTTAACCGAGCTTTTTGTCCCGTTGTTTTTAAGTTTGTCCAAGTTTATCTGAGTTGTGTCCAAATGTGTCTTCGTGTGTCCGAATTTTGTCATATTGTGTCAACGTTTGTCCAAGAAAAAAAAGAAAAAAGCGAATAGTTGGAGTTATTTTATTTTATTTAATATTTTAATTGAAACGGATGACAACAGTAGACTTTGGGTGTGAAGGGAGAATGTGAAATCGTGACAGATATCCATGACATGACAGGGGCTGACATTGTCATTACAATTTACAGTGAAGGTGGACTGATCATTGGGGTCTACGACAAATTCCCGAAAGACACTTGCCCGAATGCCGTTTGCCGGAAGGCCGATTTCCCGAATGGACACTTGCCCGAATGCGACAAACGCCCGAATGGACACTTGCCCGAATGCGACAAATGCCCGAATGGACACTTGCCCGAATGCGACAAATGTCCGAATGGACACTTGCCCGAATGGGACAAATGCCCGAATGCCACTTGCCCGAAGGCCGTTTGCCCGAAATATGTTAACCTTATATATTTCTAAATAATCATTCGTAATCAATTTAAATTTAAAATGTTAGTAAACAAAACACATCTAAGCAAAAAGAAATTGAAAAAAATAATATTATATATTACCTCGCAGAAATTTTAAATTAATTTGTAATTGATATTTAAAAAGTGTAGAAACATACTTTCTCTTCCATATATGAAATTAGACAAAAATACAACTTTCATTCATCTCCGGATTTTAAAATGAGTTTTGCTTTCTTTATTAAGTAATCGCTTCAACACATTGTCTTAACAAGGTGCATTAAATGGAGATCAAACATATCTGACTACGTTTAGTTTTTAAATTCACCACCTAAACCTCGCCTCATTCTTTTGTTAAATGATCACCCCACAAGTCAAGCATAACACGATAAACCAACAAACGCGCCTCTGTTCGATGTTGCGAGACGCCGCGCCGCCTACACCGTGTCATAAGCGCTATATAACCACCGCAACACGTCGGCTAAACAAGGTGTTAAAAAAATACATCAAAAGAATGTTAGAACACCGCCGCCAACATCACGTTACATTTATGAAAGAATAAAGTTTTTCTTACAGCACTTTCTCAGTATTGAAAAAAAAAAAAAAAAAAAAAAAAAGCTAAATTTAAAAATATAAACAACTTTGTTTTATGCTTAGAATTATGTTTATAATCAAAATTTCAAACTTAAACTGATTTAAGAATTTCTATTTAGTAATATTATTTATTATCTAATATTAACATTTTTCGGGCAAACGGCCTTCGGGCAAGTGGCATTCGGGCATTTGTCGCATTCGGGCAAGTGTCCATTCGGGCATTTGTCGCATTCGGGCAAGTGTCCATTCGGGCATTTGTCGCATTCGGGCAAGTGTCCATTCGGGCGTTTGTCGCATTCGGGCAAGTGTCCATTCGGGCATTTGTCGCATTCGGGCAAGTGTCCATTCGGGAAATCGGCCTTCGGGCAAACGGCATTCGGGCAAGTGTCTTTCGGGAAAACGTCCGGCTCCCTGATCATTGATATAGCTGTTGTTTTATGAGATTCGACAAGTTTTATTCAATAGATGACAATGACATGATATTTATGAGAAACTTTTAATGCCATGTTGACATTATGACAAACTAATGGTAGCTTGACAATGTTATGACAAACGTTCCATGACATGAAAATCGTGTGATAAAATTACAAATGGCAGAATGATGGCATGACAATGACATGACCATGAAATGACATGATGATGACATGACGATGACATGACATGACGATGACATGACGATGACATGATGATGGCATAACGATGACATGACGATGAAATGATGACATGACATGACATGACATGACATGACATGACGATGACATGACGATGACATGATGATGACATGACGATGACATGACGATGACATGACTTTGGCATGACCTGACATGACGATGACATGATGATGGCATAACGATGACGTTAAGATGGCATGACGATGACGTGACGATGACATGTCGATGACATATATCATTTAACTGAAAAAGTTTGAGCTAGAACATGTTTAAAAATTGTTTAATGACATCATTAGGGAGAGGGGGGGGATACGATTGTTACAGAAACGAAGAATAATGTTTTACCAGTAAATATTGTTCTTGATTGTTATAATTTAGTAACGCGATGGGTTAGGTATAGCATGTTTTTTTTTACAAAAATACTAAGGTGCATCGAAGTCTACCTCAGACAAATAAAAACACAACGGCTTTCCCCTCTCCCCCCCCCCCCACCCCAGCAAATTTTACTAGGATTTTTTTTTTATCTACCCCTCATGTGTATCCGACCTGTCTATATTATATGTCAATACATGATACGAATTGGACGTTATCGATTTTGTGGATTTATAAAACAACATTTTAAACACATTGCATAGTGATTATCAGTCGTTTTTGGAAAAAATAGCTACATACATTGCTTGATTACGGTTTTTTAAAACACGTCTAATTAGTCTAATTTAACTTAATTATCGTCGTACTCAGAAAAGGTTTTTACAAGTTTTATTGATATATAAAATTATTATATAATTCTTATTGTACACAGTTTGCGAGTAAAAAAGAAATAGAGAACCTTGCAGTTACAAAAAATGTTTGAAAAACATCATTTTTTCTAGAATTATAATTCTACAAAGAGAAGATACTAGTCGACAGCAAGTCTTTGTCAATGATTTAATTACTAATTACAAGTTTGCATTTTTTAAAAATATTGGCTGGCGTTAAGGTATTTCTACAGAAATATAACACATCTTGCCCGTTTAATGCGAGGTCTAGCCATCTAGACAGAAGGACCAGTTTATTGACAGGTCTACCCATCTAGACTGAAGGAACAGTTTATTGACAAGTCTACCTATCTAGACAAAAAGACCAATTTATTGACAAGTCTACCTATCTAGACAAAAAGACCAATTTATTGACAAGTCTACCTATCTAGACAAAAAGACCAGTTTATTGACAGGTCTAACCATCTAGACAGAAGGACCAGTGTATTGACAGGTCTACCCATCTAGACAGAAAGACCAGTTTATTTCGAGGTCTACTTATCTAAACAGAAGGACCAGTTTAAGTTGAAATGTATTCAACTAAAAGTGAGTACTACAATTCTCGTTCAGTGACCAGAGAATGTAAATAAAGGGGGTTTAGTGAGACTCATAAGTACTGTCAGTCAACAGACAATAGAATGTACACCCTGGGTCAACAGACCAGAGGCGTTGCGATGGGGGGTGGCAGGGGGTACATATGTCCCAGGGCGCCGACCCTAGGGGCGCCAAAATGGGTTGGGAAAAAAATTAAAAGCTCATTTAGGCTGCAGTTTTGAATTATAAATATAAAAAAATTGAAAGTTTGTCCCCAGGTGCCGGGAGGGGTCGCTACGCCTCTGCAACAGACAATAGAATGTATATACTGGGTACACATTTAATGCTTTTGTTTCAAATGGTTATTTATAATTAACCCCAATTGTTTTGTGATAAGTGACGATTGAAATAAAAACATCACTTGGCGCGTGCTGTACTTTAGCTGATATATCATCACATAACACGTAGGCTTATATATGAACCATATCCTAAGCACATTTGTCTAAGTTTCAAAGGTAATTCTTCTAAAATAGAATATACTCAGGCATTCTTTAATCAACACAACAGCTGGTATTCACGATGAACATCACTTTTGTAGACATCAGGATGTTAGATACGATGAAAAACATCCCAAACAGGTTAATTTTTTAAAAAATTGTTTTCAATACGAGTCATCGCCCGAGTTTTCATCCCCCCAATCCTCATCATCGTTTGATTGGTCAACTAGTCCACTTTCTTTGTTGGCTTTCATTGCAAGGGTAGTTTGTTCCTGGACATTGCAAGAATTCCCAAAACATGGCTCATCCTCTGATGGTACAGAGTTCGAATCCATGTGAGGGCTTGACTCCCCCGCCTGGGAGTCGCGTTTGTCATTTATAACTTCTAGCAGGGCGGAGAAAACTGGAGAAAATGTAGTTGTCTCCTGGACGGACGCTGAGGGGTCGGAGAACTGGACCTCCATGGCTGGGGTGGTGACCACGGGCTGAGTTCGTCTCCGGTAATTTTCGTGGTGTTGTGAACTGGAGCGTGGGCTAAACCACCGCCTCATCCCGGCCTTTTTGGTGGTTGTTGGGTGACCTGTACTCTCAACAACAACCGTGGTGTCGTCAGTTAAAGGTATTGTGCTAGACTCGGTACCGTCTTCATTAACGATAGGTGCGGTATTTTCATAGAAAGATGTTGTTGTCTCTGTGGTAGGAGGGGTCCCGTCTGTAGTGGGAGAGGGGAGGGGCTTGTAAGGTTGTTTTTTAACTTCAGTTTTGCGAAGCGGACGAAACATCGGGTTCTCGTGGTGCCGACTGCTGGATAAGTGGTCATACTTTTTCTTTGGCTTGTCTACCTCGGGCTTAACCACCGGCGTGGTTGAGGGGATTGTTCCTAAATCTTGGGTCTGTTCTTCAACGTCCAGGGTCACCGGCTCATTGATGACAGCCGGGGTTGTTCTACTAGGCTTTGGTGGGGGTGGCTTGACCGATGTCTTGGGTTTATCGACGGCTATCTTTGGACGGTCGGGAATTACCTTTGTCTTGGGTTGTTTATTGACGGCTATCTTTGGACGGTCAGGCATGTAAATTGTTCCAGAGCTTGAGTTCGACCTGAAGTGGACCGCGTCAATCTCCAGCATTGGACATCTCTCGTTCTCGACACTGAATGCCCCGCCAAAGCATTCAGGTGAGTAACAGTGACCGGCCTTTACACACCTGTATAAAAAACGTAAAAATTAAATTTCATTTTGAAAAAAAAAAATTCAATGGTGTTGTAACTTTTGAAAAATCTGAAACATGACTAAGAGAATGTCTTGGCAAATTGTCAAAACAAATCTGGTAAAAAAAAATATTCTCGAAACACATTTCTAATCATTCGTAGATTATACAGCTTAACTCGCAAGATAGGAATTTGTTTTATTTTGAATTTCGTGTGGTTAACCTTGAATCGCTTCCAAATTTTATATTTAATATATCAATACAACATCACGCAGGGGAGGGAATATTTCTGGAAAACAAACATAATCAGCAGTGATAACAGGTAGCTGCCTATTTGTTTTGATTCACTGATAAAGGCCAAGTTAGCCGAGTTACACAGTGAGATAAAGGTTTTATTTCAGTATGTGTGGTCGAGGGGAAGAGCTAACTCAAAAATTTTAAGTCCCTGGGATCGAGCCCATAGTTCGTCCCTGAGTCCACCCAGCTCTATTCCGTACCTGGATTCAGTTGGCGAAAGTATTGGCGTGACAGAGTTTCTTTCGGGGAGCGGAGCACCCTCCCCCGAATGAAAGACTGCCGCTTCCCCCCCCCCCCCACACACACACACACACCTCCGTACGAAGTGGAATTTATATAGAAAATACTTTCAAGTGCCCCCTCGGAGAAAAAAGTTTGAAAGAAACACTATACTGAAACTTCATTTGCAGAGGTCACAGTAACAAACCAACTAACCGACAGGTATAAAAAGGATATCTTTCTGCCAAGTACACGTCGCTTGTTTTCAATTATCCATCCGTTGTTTTCAATTATCCATAGGTTGGTTTCAATTATCCGAAAGTATTTTTGTGTGGAACATACGGGATTAGCCACAGAAATTCTTTCATGTGGTAATCAACAACGATTGTTTCACATGTTTTTTAACTTATTGCTTGAAGAATAGAACAGCATTCATTTAAGGCTAATTAAATATAGGGGATGGAGGGGTTGTAGAAGTAATTCCCTTTAAGGATAATATATATTGACGGAGGGTTGTTGTAGAGGTAATGTCCTTAAATGATGTTTCTGATCAAGTCGAGAAACCATGGCCAACCCTGGGTCCCCGCCCCCATCAATACCCCACCCCCCCCCCCCCCCCCCCCCAAAATGACAACAGTGACGTACTCGACCCCCTTCTGGTCCAGTTGGTTGTCCCCGATCTTGATCTTGAGACACTGCCTAAAGATCCTGTCGTTGGACCTGACACAGTCACACAAGCAGGTGTCGCCGACCTTGGTCTGGTAGAAAGGTGAAGGACACGGTTTTGTACATCTGAAAATACACACCAGATAGGAAGCCGTGAGTGCAGAAATGGCAGACATCTGCTACTGGGAGGGATGTGAGGGAGTAGGGGCGAAGTAGGCAAAAATTGAATAGTTAGGGGGTAAGGGGGGGGGGGGGGGGGTAAATTGACAAATCAATGCTAGAGGGATGAGATAAATATAAATGTATTTTATTTATAGCGCGTTGTATGACAGCACCTTAGGGAGATTGAGCCAGGTTTTTACCTGGATTTGGCACTGATAGAGCAAACACCTGTGTTAGGCCAGCTCCCCCAATATAAGGCTGGGTACTTTTAACAACTGGTTAGACTCAATAATACATTTTAGACGTGTATTAGCTAAACTCTGGTTTATGATGGGAGTCCTAACACGCGAACTTAAGACTGCCAGTCGGTCATAAGTTTTGGGTTAACAGTCGGTCATTAGATTTGGGTAACAATAGATCACAAACTTTAGGCTAAAAGTCGGTTGTAAGATTTGGGTTAACAGTCGCTCATAAGTTTTGGGCTAACAGTCGGTCATAAGTTTTGGGCTAACAATCGGTCATAAGTTTTGGGCTAACAGTTGGTAATAAGTTTTGGGCTAACAGTCGACCACCCAACAACACAATCGTTATACGGTAAAATTATCCTGTTATCTTAAAAAGTCCATTTATACACAGTCACTCTATGTATCTATCTGGTGCTGGATGCAATAGTTTCTAGTGCCCCCTGTACCCACCCCGTCACCCATGGGTGATATCACTGACGGTAGACTATCTTTACCGTCAAGACGTTTAAGAAGACATGTTGGAGGACTTTATACAAAGCTGGGTCTGACACAACTTGGGTACCCAACTAGTTTTATATGCCTTTCGTCTCCACCATAACGCCACCCCATCCCCACCCCCTCTCCACCATAGTTGTTATTTTAAATTGTGTATTAAGGTTTTCTTTTTTTTTAATGCAAAATACGAATAAATATCAAACTTTGGAAATTTTGTTGAAAATGATAATGCTAATCAGCTCCCTGTTGAGATTTAAAACTATAAAGATTCTTTCTACAGATTGATTCCCCTCCCCCCACTCCCCAGTACTATAGAGTACTACCGATAGAGTACTTATAGAGTATTACTGATAGAGTACTGATAGAGTACTGATAGAGTACTGATAGAGTACTGATAGAGTACTGATGGAGTATTACCTAAAATCTCTTCTGATCTAGCCACTTACATTTTCTTTTTCTCAGTACATCCACACTTACATTTTCTTTTTCTTAGTACATCCACACTTACATTTTCTTTTTCTCAGTACACCCACACTGTGTGTGGTTGACAAATGTCCTCCACTGGACGTCCAAGTCTTTGAGGTCAATGGCGATTTTTCCTAAATGTTTCCTGCTGTCAAACACCTACATAATTAGAAAATTAGTAATTAGGTCAATTAGCAAAGCTTTTGATACATGCTTTCTTAATACAGTCACCAAGACAATGACTTTTAAAAACTGGAAATTAAGAAAAATAAATAAATAAACCTTGCCAGATTTACTAATTTTTTTTTAAAATGGAAGTTGCCAGATTCACTTGCTAGATTTATGTTTAGCTTAAAATATCTGAATTGCCAAATTAGACTACGTAATAAATTAAATTGTAACAACAAAAAGATTTTGTTATAATCATTAGGAGATTTAATTTAATTTCAATCATAAGAATCTCTAATTATCCTTCTATCCCTTTTTTTAGCGCATGTCATGTGATTGGCCTGTGTGTGAGTTTGATGTGCATGATTGACGCTATGAGCGCTACCTGGGACAGGTAGGCGATGCAATCATTGAGCTGTGGGAAACACAGGTGAGACAATCTGGTGAAACATCGATAGGTGAGTGGGGGGGGGGGGGGGCGATATAATTCTAAACTCGTTTTTTTTTACCTGAACACCTGTTGGAGAGGTGTCCAAGAATGGGAGGAGAATTTAGACATAGCTGTGATTGTTTTTTTTGTTGGATGGTATCAAATGTTGGATGGGATTAAATGTTGGATCAAATGTTGGACGGGAATGTTGGACAGAATTAAATGTTGGACGGGATGAAATGTTGGATGAAATGTTGGATGAAATGTTGGATGAAATGTTGGATGAAATTTTGGATGAAATGTTCGTCAATATCGCTCCACCTTTAGCATTTAAAATGGCACAAAATAATCACGTGTTTTAAAATCGTTCAAACGTGTATGTTCTTATTGATATATATATATATATATATATATATATATATATATATATATATATATATATATATATATTTATTTATATACGTATATATATATATATATATATATATATATATATATATATATATATATATATATATATATATATATATATATATATATATATATATATATATAAATATATATATATATATATATATATATATATATATATATATATATATATATATTTATATATATATATATCACAACTTACCAGAAATGGTAGTTTTACAACTTCTGTATGGATAGGTCCACATTCATATAGTGGAGCACCAGCACAACAGCCAGTGAAGTTCGTACATCGATGCAGGACAATACACGAGGGTAAAAACTGAAGCGGGTGCTCGTAGTCTACGACCCTGTGCACCACGGGGCGGGGAACTTTGCAGATGAGCTGTTCGTTGGTCGAGGACGTGAAGAAGTGGTGTTTGGCAGCCTCTAACACTGTGTTGAGATAGAGGTTGTTTGGACATGGTTTGTTGACACACACACATACACACACACATATATATATATATATATATATATATATATATATATAGGTAGGTATGTATATGCAATATGACGGTCAAAGCCCGGCGTCGGCTAAAGCAAGCATTGGAATCTCTATGTGTAGAGTTGGGGTGGTGTATATTATGTGGGTGACAGGACTCTAAAAATGTAATACAATGTTTATTATGTTCGGGGTTGGGTTAAAGATTGACATAATCTGTCCTGGAATTTTAGACTGCTGTTAGTGCAACATTTCCTATTTTTGAAAATTAACTAGGAAGACATTTTATTTCTTTTGACAATTTAGTTTTTTCTTGGTCTGTGTGCCCTTCTGCTCCGATCACATTACATGCAGTATGTTATAAAAAACATAAGCCGAGTAATACATTAATCACAATGAAACCGCAGCAAGAATCATTAAATGCCATCACATCAATGTTATACAACGAACATTGGCCAGGGTATTCCGGCCAGTGCGGGCATAGGCCAACCAATGTACAAAATACGTTATTAATTTAAAGCTCTTTGTATTTTTTGGCCAAGAAAGCTAGTCAATGAGCAAATTGGCTGGCTAATTAGTGTTTTGGCCGCAATTAGGACTTTAACCGTAGCACACACACACACACATACACACACATAAATATAATAGACTTATGCGTGTAGGTAAATCTGTATTATTTTTTATAATATTTAAACGTGTGTGCATGTTTGTATGTGGGTGAGTACATGTAAATTAACCAAGGTTTGGTTTGAGCCTAATTTGTAAGCAACTCACGCTCATTCCCTGAGGGCATCTCCTCCTCCTTGTGGCTGGTCTCATGACTGTCCACCTGCGGACTGTCAGGGCTGTCCATGTAAGGACTGTCCTGCGGGTAATCCATGTCAAAAGTGTGATCAACTGCCCGGACAGTCTCGTGATCCCCGCTCCCCTCGCCGCTGTACCCCAGGTACTGCTCGTCCCCCCGGGCATACAGGTGCTCGTCCTGACGGGGCGAGTGTTCATCAGGGGAGATAGTCCACAGGTTGTGACCCGGAAGTTGTTTGTGCAACCACGTGCTCAGCTGGCTGTCAGACATGTCGGTAACTGTGAACATCCGGGCGAGGTGGAGGCGGGTCATGTTGTGTTGCAAGCTTTCCATTAAGTTAGACAGCGATACTGACTTAAGCTTGATTTCCTGGGAGATACAAGTTTCAATCTTTATTAGATCTGTCAGCGCTAGAACCCATGCAGTAAATTTCTTGCCCGTTTAACATGTTGATCTATTTGATTTCAATATAAAAATTGACGCAAAAAAAAATGTCGACTCCCCCAGAAGTTAACATTATGTAATGCGTAACTGTCATTTTTTTTTACATTTTTTAAACTCATACTATTGGTCAAATTGTATTACGTTAATTTTACATAAGCGTTTTTTTCTATTATTATCAATGTCCTACCCCCCCCCCCCCCACCCCAACCCGCTAAACGTTACCTGTATATCCATACCTTGATTCCCAACATGTACGTTTAACAACTAGTTAAATTGTGTCCAAACCTTAGAATCCCCTTACCTACCTTACTCTCCCACCTGTCAACATTACTTGTGTCCAAATCTGGACTGCCCACCCACAACCCACCCTCCCCCACCCCATCCCACCCTCCCCCACACCCACTAGTCCACATTACCTGCGTGTCCAAACCTGGACTCCCCGGCACCTGCCTGTTGTCAGATGTCTTGAGCTGGCTGTTGACGTGTGCCGCCACCACAGCAGACAGCAACGTTAGCTGCAGATAGTACAGCACGCCTCGCAGTCTCCGCAACCACATCACACTTTGCTGCTAGCGTACAGGACAAAAGATAATTACATCACACTTTGCTACTAGCGTATAGAGACAAAAGATAACCACATCACACTTTGCTGCTAGCGTACAGGACAAAAGATAATTACATCACACTTTGCTACTAGCGTATAGAGACAAAAGATAACCACATCACACTTTGCTGCTAGCGTACAGGACAAAAGATAATTACATCACACTTTGCTGCTAGCGTACAGGACAAAAGATAACCACATCACACTTTGCTACTAGCGTATAGAGACAAAAGATAACCACATCACACTTTGCTGCTAGCGTACAGGACAAAAGATAACCACATCACACTTTGCTACTAGCGTATAGAGACAAAAGATAACCACATCACACTTTGCTGCTAGCGTACAGGACAAAAGATAATGTCACACTTTGCTACTAGCGTATAGAGACAAAAGATAACCACATCACACTTTGCTGCTAGCGTACAGGGACAAAAGATAATGTCACACTTTGCTACTAGCGTATAGAGACAAAAGATAACCACATCACACTTTGCTGCTAGCGTACAGGACAAAAGATAATTACATCACACTTTGCTGCTAGCGTACAGGACAAAAGATAATGTCACACTTTGCTACTAGCGTATAGAGACAAAAGATAACCACATCACACTTTGCTGCTAGCGTACAGGGACAAAAGATAATGTCACACTTTGCTACTAGCGTATAGAGACAAAAGATAACCACATCACACTTTGCTGCTAGCGTACAGGACAAAAGATAATGTCACATTATGCTGCTAGCGTACAGGCACAAAAGGTAATCACATCACACTTTGCTGCTAGCGTACAGGGACAAAAGATAATGTCACATTTTGCTACTAGCATATGGGGACAAAAGATAATGTCACACTTTGCTACTAGCGTACAGGGTCAAAAGATAATCACATCACACTTTGCTACTAGCATATGGGGACAAAAGATAATGTCACACTTTGCTACTAGCGTACAGGGTCAAAAGATAATCACATCACACTTTGCTACTAGCGTACAGGGTCAAAAGATAATCACATCACACTTTGCTACTAGCGTACAGGGTCAAAAGATAATCACATCACACTTTGCTACTAGCGTACAGGACAAAAGATAATGTCACACTTTGCTACTAGCGTACAGGGTCAAAAGATAATCACATCACACTTTGCTACTAGCGTACAGGACAAAAGATATAACAAGATGCTACTAGCGTACAGGACAAAAGATATAACAAGATGCTACTAGCTTCAAGGGACGTGTAATAATCATATCATATTTTGCTACTAGAGTCCTCCAGACCGAAGACTTTACCTAGGGAACGAACCACAACTAGGGCACTAAGACTAGCGTAATCGTGTTTCATTTTAACTCATCAAGATGTTAGAGTGTAGTGGGTATTGTGCTAAGTCTAGATAGTGTATGAACAAAAATGTTCCAAAGTGCCTACGTCAGGAAATATTCTATAAGTATTACGTCATGGAATATTTCAGAGCTACCTACGTCAAGGAATATTCTAGAAGTACCTAAGTCAGGGCCTATTCAATAGTGCCCACGTCATGTAATATTCTAGAAGTACCTACGTCAAGGAATATTCTAGAAATACTTACATCAGGGATTATTCTAGAGGGACCTTCTTTAGGGAATATTCCAGAGTGGCTACGTCAGGGTATATTCCAGAGGTACCTAAATTAGCGAATATTCTCGAGGTATAGATGTAAAAAAAGGAAGTTCCCTACCAACCTTTGAACGTCGTGTGCAGGATGAAACGTTGGCGAGAGGTGTGCGTCCAGGGTAGTTTTGCTCCTCTTGTGTAGGGGCTGTGGGGGTGGAGGGTTGACGTTCTGTAGGGCTGGTCAAAGGTTAGAGTTCAAACTAGGTTACATTTTGAAGGTATATATATATATATATATTTGATGAATTTTAACATAACACATAACAAAAGAAACGACGGTCTAACATCAAATATTTGTATCTAAAAATAAATTCCAATTAAGGAGCCGCTAACATTACCATGGAACTTTAAAATTGTGTGGAAAGAAAAAAAAATGTTATTTTTAAAATCTCCCATTTACTTCCCCTCTTTTCTGATTAACCAACAACCCATCCCCCACACTAATATGTCTGCTTGTTCGTCTGCTCCAACTCTGTAACTACCCGGACGGCAGTTCAATTACGCCTTAACCCTCTCCACGCCGGGCTAATGCAACAGAAATCCACCGAACCGTATCGGCATCTTCAATGCTTTTGTTTCCCAACATAGCGCGGACGTGCATGAAAGACGGTGAAATTGTTCTGTACTTCATTATCTCATTCAACTTTCAACTCAATCTTGATACTCTCTCAAAAACTTCAAATTTAATCATACTCCGCCTACACGTCGATGATGAAAGGGTTAACGTGATTTGGATGAAGTCAAGCCATTTTAGTGTCGTGGAATCAGGCGCCAATAAAAGTAATTTAGTTAGTGAAAGCTTTGCAAAAAACGTGGGTATATAATTAAAATGTAATTGCACGAGGAGTTTACTAGCTAGTGAAGTGGTACATGGGTTATTTTTAGAATTTAATTTAAAAAACTAGGATCGGTTAATGTGAAATATTTTGTATGAAATTTTTTATACCCATTGAAGTCGTGTTTGAATTGCTGTGTGCTTGGCACACTAAGTTTTCTTTATTCTGGTTGTCTGTGTATTTCTTTTGTCTTGTTGTCTGTGTGATTATATCATCTTTGGTCTAATTATATTTCGGACTATATTTTTGTGTCTAATTTTATTTCGGAGCATATTTTTGTGTCTAATTATATTTCGTACTATATTTTTGTGTCTAATTATGTTTCGGACTATATTTTTGTGTCTAATTATATTTCAGACTACATTTTTTGGTCTGATTGTCTGTGTGACTATATTATTTTTTTAGCGCAATTTCCATTCTGGAGAATTGCGTTTATTAACTCGTCATTTCTGGGAATGGATGGATGAATGAATGTATGAATGTATGGATGTATGGATGAATGTGTGTCCGGGCTTTAAGTCGTATCTCCTCCTCAACGAAGCAATATCGATGACTAGTTCCAAAAGCAATTATGTTAAGCAAGTTACGAGGATGAACATAGGCCATAAAAATTACGGGTTTCTTTCATGGATTTCCCGGAAAAGCCAAAAAACCTCGAAAAAATGCAGTTTTTGGCCCATATCTCGGCAACCAGACCACTAAGCGACTTGAAACATGTACCAATCGATTCCTGCCATAATTTAGAACAATATTGCCGAAGAAAGTTTTCAAAAATATCCTTTCGTTCGGTCACAAAAAAATTTTTGAATTAATTAAAATTTGGACCGAATTAGTAGGCATTTTTTCCAACCACACCACACGCGTCATCACGTTCAATAGCTGCGCCATCACGTTCAATGGCTGCGCCATCACGTTCAGTAGGCGCGCAATGGTTTTTAGTCATGTAACTCTATTGTAAATAAAACATGTAAAATACTGAAAAAAATTAATAAAAAACGTTTTAATAACTAACCAATGGTTTTACTAACCCTGCTCTTGATTTACGCTACGACAGAGCTATTTTTAGATAACATAAGGAAATTGCGCTAAAATTGTCACTAGACTTTTTAATCACCTTGTTTATCTTTTTCATCCTGTCATTTGTCTTAATATGTGACTAGAAGTCTGTTTGACTGTAAGTATGTATGGCTATCAGTGCTATGTGAAAAGAGTTTCTTTCAGGCATCTCTTTGGGGGTGGAGAAGGGGGTGGGGGGGGCTGAGTCCCCCAAAGAAAGTCTACCCCCTACCCCCCCCCCCGCGAACAAAATATAATTAATATTGAAAATATATAAATCCCCCCCCCCCCCTGTAAAATTTAGTCCGTCCTACCCCGGATAAGAAGTCTGAAAGCAATACTGTATGTGAAATAGTCTACTGGGTGACCGGATGGAGGGGGGCGGTGCAGTCGCCTTTCTAAGATTTGACCTAACAGACTGTCACATGATCTTGTCTGGACGTTACAGTGTCAGAGTTTATAATGGGGGTTGTCATTGGCTTATATAATACAAATAGGTGTTGTTGGATTATTAACGCATGGAGCGTCGAAGGCTTGTCTATACAAATGAGTGTAACTTGCATATTAAGACAGGTGGGCGTCTAGAGGTTTTCTATAGTGGAGGCTGCTATGTGCTCCCCAGTGCAATGGGCGATATAGACGGGGTCTGGTGCTCTTCTAGTGAGGCGGGGGCTTGCTTATACATGTCCCAAACGCCACAGAAGACGTTTCGCATGTCAATATGTCAAGGAACATGTGTCATCATTCACCTGACATCTGACTGATTCACCTGATAACACTGGACGTACGGCATCCTTAACTGACCTCAGCTGTCATCTGTCATGCTGTCGTTCTCACGTGAATATATGCTGACCTCAGCTGTCATCCTGTCAGTCTAGCACGCATCTGCTCACGCTGACGACGTCTATTAATATTTACACGTGAGCATCTTCAACATGCGAATCCACAGCGGACAAATGGCGGAAGTCCCATAAATATTTTGTCTACACGAATTATGTTATGAAACAATCGATTTTTCAACGCTTGCTTCTCGGCACTTACGTCATCGGATTAAGTCATTAAGACATGCATGAGCCGGGTTAATTACCTGCAAGCAGCGACCTTGAACTCAACATTCCCTTACCTGTTTTTGGAAGATTTTTTAACATAAATCACGTCAAAGGGTCAAGCACTAAAGCTAAAGCAGCCATTTTTCTACAGGAACATGTCTGGTATGATATATAATGGGAATAAACGTTTGTATTTTTGTTCCGATGCTAAATTTAGAAACTACTTCAAAACAAATGATGGATGTAAATCTTTAATCTATTTTTAGTAACAACACGCGCAGGTATTAATTTAGGGGGTCCCCGTGTTGCATAGCGCAAAACTCTTTGTCAGCCACATTGACGGTTTAATAAATAGGATCTGGATATAGACCAGTAGCGTAGCGAGGGGGGGGGGGGGGGCGGGGGGGACATATGTCTCCGGGCGCCGAGCTTAGGGGGCGCCAAAATGGGTTGGAAAAACAAATTGAAAGGTTGAGGGGGTGCAAATTGAAAGTTTGAGAGGGGGGGGGGGGTGCAAATCAAAATCTCGAGGGGGGGGGGGGTGCAAATCGAAAAGTTTGTCCTCGGGCGCCGGGAAGGGTCGCTACGCCTCTGATATAGACACACTGAAGGTTTAATAAATAAGATGTGGATTTGCCACATTGAAAGTTTAATAAACAGGATGTAGATATAGCAACATTAGAGGTTCATTCAGTAGGATGTGGATTTATCCACACTAGAAGTTTAATAAGTAGGATGTGGATACAACGTGAGGAACCTTGAGAGTAAGGATAAGTTATCTCATTCTTTCATCATTGATGAAATTGAAATATATATATTTTTTTAAAATTTCACTTCGTATCGAATGCGATTTCGTTGACGAAAAACATATGGTTTAAAGGTGTTAATGATGAAGTAACGAACTAGATCTGTTGAACCTAAACGTAGAAGTCAATCAATACCAGACCTGATCCCCTAATGCCAAGGGTGTTCGCTGTTTTCTCTGGTACCATGAGCCGGCTGTAGCCCTAGTAGGCTACACGCCAACAATTCAAAAAGTTCGCCAACTCATGCCTACGGTATCAGCTTTCAACACCGAGGGTTTTTTTCAATCGTGTTTACACACTTACCTATGTCACGTGACTTCTAATTAGCTGGAAAATTGTTAATTAGAATTTTTTTTTTCAAATCCGTCAAATATCTGCTTTCATGTTTTGTCAAAATTCCTAAACGATGACGCCGTCTCCTCTTTCCGTATTTTTCGACGTTCACGACGCTAATTAAGATCACGACGCTAATTAAGATGTAACGATGATTAGGGGTCAACACAGGGATGACGGGAACGCCCATGTTGCGCCCCCTGGCGGTGAGTTAAGAGTCGGGGTTAAGAAACCAAATCTTTCCTGGGGTGGATTAGCGTTACCCGCACCGTGTGTGGGAGCCCACCCCATCCCACCCCCTCCCACAAAGGCCATTGATGGTTTTCTAAACAACGTCATCAGCCATTTACGTTGCTGCCAGCTAATTAACGACCGACCGTGGCAGGGGAGGGAAGTCTTCCAGAGATGATAAACATTGCATCGTATGATTACGTTCCCTGTTGCTACTGCTACAGCTTATATCTGGCGTGTGTGTGTTCTTGCTCGCATATTGCAAGTTTTATCCAACACTGTAATCAAACCTTTTACCTAAAAGTCGCATAAACATTAATGAAGTAAACCAAAAAGTAAACAACTACAATAGAAGAAGTCGTATATAATGTAAGTGGAGTTCGGCTTTACATTATTTAAACGTTAGACTTGTTGGCAAAGTCCGTACTGTTCCTAGTATAATACGGGTAGAAATAGAGGATTTAGTTCATTTCATCAGCGTTTGGTTGTCTTTTATAACTCACTTGATCATCAACATTTGATGGTCCTATAAAGCTTACTTGATCAACAATATCTGATGGTCCTAAGAAACATGATCATCAACATATTATTGTCCTTTGAAACTCTATTATCAAGATTCGACGGTCCTATGAAGCCAGATGATCATCAACATGTGGTTGTCCTAAGAAACTTGATCATCAACATTTGACATTCCTATGAAGCCAGAGGATCATCAACATCTGATGGTCCTATGTCGCTCATTAGATCTCCATCACTCGGTGCCTTCCTAATTTACAGTATCACGCTCAGTAAATGGTACCACCAGACGCTATATCAAGTCTGTAAATGGCTGTTATACCTCGTGTCATGTCTGTAAATGTTAGACT